CATTCCTCTATCTTGCATGTGGAGAACTTCCATGGTCTAATGAAAAAGACAAATCAAAATTGATTTCAATTAAAAAATCATTCAAACTTTCTGATCTAAATTACAAATTTCCAAGCCAGTTCCAACAAATTTATGATTATCTCAAAAAACTCAAGTACAAAGACACTCCTGATTACGATTACATACAAAATCTATTTGTAAGTGGAATGAAAGAAGATTCAGTATTACCAGATTCATTTAATTGGTCAGATTTTCTTTCTAAATATGAAAATCTTACCAAATACCAAGAAGCATTATGCAATTTTACATTAAAAGTATTAAATGATAATGATAAAAAGGAGAATCAGCGTAAAAAAGATCAAAATGAAGAAAATTCAGAAAAGCAAAAAAGCGAAAGCAAAAAGAGTTGTTTAATAGAATAAAAACTGTTTATATATATATATATATAAATTGAATTTAAATTGTTATCATTTGTTCAACATTTATTTTGAAAAATCATCTTAAAAGTTTGTTTGTGTTGATGACTTTAAGATTGAATCATTGGCTAATTTGGATTAGGCTATAAGTTTGTTTCAGATCTATTTTACAGTTTTTTTTTTTTTTTTAATTTAATCATCCTTCCCACAATTTGTACTGAAGTTGCATTCTGAAGACATAAAGCAAAAAGAGATTATGCATGTTTTATTTGTCATCAACCAGCTCATACCAAAAATTATTGTTCCAAATTAAAAAAAAAAAAGAAAAGAAGAAAACATTTCTGATAAAATAATATTTATAACATTTAATTGAGACTATGACGATTGATCATTAATCATGCACAAATTTTCTGATCATTCATCTCCGTCTATTTGCCAGAAAAGAAGCCAAACTTCCAAATTTCGATATCTACAACATAAAAGAAATTCTTTTTTGTCAATTGTGGAGATCCAAAAGTGTCGCATGGACTTGATGAAGCATATTGTAGATCTTCGCCAATCCAAATGGCAGGACCAGACATTTGTCCATGACTCGAATTAATGGTCTCGATTTCATTTTTATTGTACGATTCTTTATCTTTCCCAATTCCAATTATGATTGTGTTTGTTTCAGACATCATAAAGCTCGTGCTGGTTCCAGACGTCCATCTAAATATTTCGAGATGAGCAAAAGAAGGAGTGGAATTAATATCTGAATCTGAATTCTTGCTTTCATCACTCTTGTTCTCAGCCATCGCTGATTCTTTATCTTTATTACCGTCATCAACATTGGCATTTTCAATTTTATTTGCAGAATTGTCTTCACCAAATTGGTTATTATTAATGTTTGCATTTTGTTTATCAATTTCGTTATTGTCATCATTATTATTTGAGTTTCCATTACTTGCATCTATGCTATCAATCTCCTTATTTTGATCTCCATCATTAATGTTGTTTTCATTGCTTTTATCAGCAGCATTCTCAACATGATTTTCATCATTGTTATTGCTTTCATTGTTTTTATCAGAAACATTCTCAACATGATTTTCATCATTATTATTGTTTTCGTTACTTTTATCAGCAGCATTCTCAACATGATTTTCATCATTGTTATTGTTTTCGTTGCTTTTATCAGAAACATTCTCATGATTTTCATCATTGTTATTGATTTCACTGTTTTTATCAGAAACATTCTCATGATTTTCATCATTATTATTGTTTTCATTGCTTTTATCAGCAGCATTCTCAACATGATTTTCATCATTGTTATTGTTTTCATTGTTTTTATCAGTAACATTCTCAGTATGATTTTCATCATTATTATTGTTTTCATTGTTTTTATCAGTAACATTCTCAGTATGATTTTCATCATTGTTATTGTTTTCATTGTTTTTATCAGTAACATTCTCAGTATGATTTTCATCATTATTATTGTTTTCACTGTTTTTATTAGCAGCATTCTCACTATGATTTTCATCATTTTTGTTTATATCTTCAAATGCTTGGTTTTCACTGTTTTTATCATCACTTTTCATAGAATTTTGCGTTTCTTCTTTTTGACTGCTACTAGATTTTTCACTTTTATTTTTGTTTTGGACAGCTTTAACAAATCGAAAAACAAAAGCTTCTCCACTTCCATAATATTTCGTGCTGTATTTGAATCCAGTTGGAATAAAAGCTCCAATTCTTTCTTTCGTGCTCGTTGACATTATGAAGACAATTGGTCCCGTATTTTTAGTGCAATTAAAGAAATTCGTGAATGAAGAACCGTCTCTAGACAGTCTGAATACCAGCATCCAATCAAAACTCCTCAATCTATATGGCAGTTTAGAACGAATTTGGTCAATTTCTTCGGTTCTTTCAAATATTGCTGACGGACCATCAACGATCTTCACTTTTAATAAAACCGAAGAAGCAACCACTTTTCTTTTTTGCTTATTTACAACTTTTTCTCCGATTTCGCTGTTTCTTCTTGGCTTCACCATGTCATCTTTGCTACTATTCTTAATTTGGGCGAAAGGATTTGCGACTAACTTTTCACTGAGACTTCTTCTGTAAAGGCGCTTAACGTTGACATCTCTAGTCTGACTATTATTATTATTATTATCGTTGTTGTTGTTATTAATGGTCGGACCGATGATCTCATCATTTAGGTGTGAAAAGCTGTCTTTGATTGTGCTGAAAATTGATTGGAAAAAGCTAAGTGGTGAACTTGGCGATGGTGGTATATTTGGCTTCGGTATTTGATCGTGTTTGTGCTTCTCTAACCTGGCCTTGGCTCGTTGCTTGGCCTCTTTAATTGCTTTTTGAAGAGAATCAGAAAACTTGTTTCCTTCTTCTTTTCGAACTCTGAAGTAGAGCGCATTCAACGAACTTTCATCACGCGGATTTAATAGATAACTGACGACAAGAACGCTATCTTTTTCACTGCTTTGCTCCGGCGCGCTATTATTCGTTAATTCTTTGGTTTCAGTAGCAATTTGGTCAACATGCACTGTTTCTGAGCCATCAACTTTTTCTTTTTCTATTTGGCTGGCTTCCATTACAACCTTTTCTGTTTCTGCTTTGTTTGACTGTTCGCAAACGCTTTCTTGGGCATCTACTTTTACGATTTCTTCGCATTTTTCTTGAATTTCTTGTTTTGAGCCATTTTCATCGGACTTTTCTACTTCTATGAAATCTTCTTGTAAAGTTGGACTTGATTTTGCTTCTTCAGTAGTTGGAATTGATTGTTCCACGTTTTCCATTTTCTTGTCATGCTCTTCTAGATCTGTTGTTTCTTTATTTTCAGCCCTTTCTTGTGCAGAGTTGTTAGCAGTTACTAATTGTTCATTTTGCATTTTCTTTTTCATTTTTTCTCTTTGCAACTTTGGCGTGTAAATGACAGCATCATCATTTAGTGATGAAAGCTTGATATGCAATGGCTTATGCTCTTTGCTAACTGTATCTGGAATGAAATCAAAAGAATTTTCGTTAATAACAACGTAGATTTTCCCGTTTTGGCCTAATTCGTCGTCTTCTGTACTTTCTTGAGCATCATTATGGCTTTCACCATTAACAAGAGAGCAATCTAGAGGTTTAATCATTGAATGAGAAGGTTCTGTTACGTTAAGTTTAATTCCTTTTGATAGAATAAAATGAGGATCATTGATCAGTTTTATATTTTGCCTTATTAGCCAGCTTTCTGGAATACTAAATTTTGTTGCTATCGATTCAAACGTATCTGCATCACAAACTTCATATAATCTCGGAATTACTGCTTTTTTTTGAGGAGAAAGTTTAGGGGTTGGAAATATGATTTCTTTCTTATTTTTTTGCATCGTGCTTTCATTATTTTGATCTCGCTTTTGAATGTTCAAATTTAATGAGATATTTGCTCTCTCATTCGTGCTTTTTGATTTATTTATCATTTGAAAATGAGGCAGATTCTGAATTCCAGAACTTTTATTATTCAAGTTTTCATCCTTAGCTTTGGGAGTGTTTTGCATTTGTGTTTCTTATATTTTTTCGAAATTTGAAAAGTTTATTCCGTTTATATTATATCAGAAAAAATTGTGAAGATTTTCAGAATCTTTTTACAACATAAATTCTTTAATGAAATTGATATTTACAAGTATTTAAAAATATTTTGATTTTTTTTATGGTGATTTTAATTATAAAAAATAATACGGAAGAAAATTCCCAATAATTTTTACATAACCATTTTTATTTGCTTTAATTGGTACAAATAAATATTCATTGATGTAATTAATTCAGAAAAATTTATCTCAAATTTAATTGCTTTTTTGTATACATTTTTTTATTAGTATATTGAAATTTAAAAAATAATGAACTCAAATTTTAATACCTTTAAAAATCTTTATCTTTATTATTATTAGATAATTAAGATTTTAATATGATTTAAAATGCTATAGAATATATTAATAATATAATTAATCTATAAATTTCTTTTATAAATAATATAATTAATCAATGACACAAATGAATCTTAATATAGTTCATATTTTAATGTTTGAAAAAGTTGTAAAAGATAAAAAAAATATCTTTATTATCATTTGATTCTTCAAAATATTCAATATCTCATGGTTGAATCTAACTGTTTGGATACTTTACAGCTAAAAGCCGAGGAACGATTCCAAATAGCAAAAAAGAGAGTAATTTCTTTCCTTTCTTTTTAAGATCTTTGTAACCTATAAAGTTGCACGAGAATAGAATTCATCAGAAATTAATGATATAATTATAACAGTCCACCTTTTGTTTGAACTTGTTTATAAAGCAATTTTGTAATAGAAATATACCAAACTCTCATTTCTGGCATGATTTCTTTTTGGTTGGCCTTGGATTATTTCTGCTCTGTTTACTAAATTAAGAGGGAGAATTTAAATACCAACTGACAATGAAATGGTACAATCCAAACCAGCTCGGAACCTTAGACATAATAATCGAGAAATTCAGGAACATAGAAATTATATAGGTCAAGGTAAAAATAATTCAAATTGATATTTAATTGCAATTTACTGCCTAATAAAAAAAAAAACAAAAAAATACCGACGCGGGGAATTGAACCCCGTCTCCAGGGATGAAGGCCCCAAATCATAACCAGTAGACCACATCGGTTTCTTGCTTACTTTCTTCTAATGATATAATTAATAATGAAATAACGAACATATTCAGAAAAGTCCATTCATTGATAAGATAAGATTAATTTGATAAGATATCTTTTGATTTCGTAAGTGTGTAAAAAAAAAATATTAGCATTTATTAAATATAGTAAAAAAAATTATATAATTAATTAATCAATTTACTAACACTTTCATAAAAATATTAATAATTTTTATGAATTTAAATTTCATGAAAAAAAAAAGTATCATGATAATAAATTTCATGGAAATTCGGTAAAAGTCGACATAGCAGGAAAATTTGAAACTCTCCGATGATGAGGTTTAGAAACTTTATCGAAAATATTTTGGTTATAAATTAAAGAGGATCTTCTTTTGCTGAGTTTAATGTTGAGCAAATTTTTTGGAGCAGTTCTTGTAAACTTGGTAGGAGTCAATGATTCCTGATTCATAGATAAGTTTATTTTTGACAACTTTTCGATAGAGATTCGCTTTTCAGGGTCGACAACTAACATCATTTTAACTACTTTCCTAATTTTTCCAGAAAGTTTTTCTTGATAATTCCCATTAACAATTGAATTTTTGAGTTTTTCGTTTGTTTTTCCTTCAAAAGGATATGAATATGTAAATAATCGATAGAAAAGTACCCCTAATGACCATATATCTGATTTGAATGGATTAAATTCTTTTTTTAGTTGGCAAACTTCGGGAGCTGAATAAGAAAGAGTGCCCATATGCTCATTAACATTTTCATCATGTTCGAGTATTCCGCTAAAACCGAAATCGGCAACTTTAATTCGTCCATTATTATCAAATAAAACATTTGCAGCTTTGATATCTCGATGGGCTATGGACTTATCATAACAATATTTCAATGCTGATATAATCTGCTCGCAAATTTTAATTCTTTCATTCTCTGATAATTCTTCATTTTTCGAAATTTTGTCCTCAAGTGTTCCGCCACCACAAAATTCAAGAACTAAAAACAAATTATTTTCTTCATTGAAGAAGTCGTAAATGCGTATAACATTTGGATGATCGAGTGTGATCAAAGCGTTCACTTCTGCTTCATACGTCAATGCATTTATATCAGCGGTTTTAGATTTAAAAACAACTTTGACTGCGAATTCGATATTATACAAAATATTAGTTGCTCTATAAACAATTGAAGATGCACCCTGGCCAATTATTGAGTTAAGAACATAATTTCTGACTTGATGAGGTAGATTTGGGTAAGGGTTACACATATCAAATTTTTTCATAATATATTGAAAAAAATTGTATATATTTTCAATTCATAAACTATTCAATATTAACTATAAAATTTCGTTTATTGTTATTTTCAAAAAATATTATTTTTAAAAATATTACAATTTTTTTATAAACTATTCAATATTTTTTTCTCTTAGGTGAAACTAGTTGATAGTAATGATAATATATTCCTAAGCAAGCCATTTTGAATAAATATAATATAAATAAATTGAAAAAGTTCTTTTTATTCTACCACTTTTTGAATTAAAAAAACATATAAAAATGTACTTAATTCAAGGAAGTTCAATAATTAATATAGTGTAAGCATACATCTATAGCCATTTCCTCCAATTAAAAGCAATTGGAGGAATGGAGGAATTAGTTTGCACAGAAAAAGTCGAACTTTTCCAATAGAAAAGTCGATAATTAATTTTATTTTTGAGATAAATTTTAAAACTCTAATAATGTTCGGTTTAGTACACTTTTCAAATACTTTTATTCTATTAAAAAATAAATAAATATATAATAATATATTTATTATATATCTAATATATATATATAAAAACTTAAATAATAATTATATTAAATATAATAAATTATAAACAAAAACAAAGCTGTTTTAAATTTTATATAAACCGAACATTAAAAAAGGTAGTTTAAGTTTATCGAATTAAACATTAAAAAAGAGGTATGGAAACTAACTTTTGTGAGAATTCGATAAAAATGTAAAAATGAAATTATCTTATTATATTAAATAAAAAAATTAAATTTTATATAAATTTAAAATTTGTATAAATATGTTAATATGAAAAAAACAAATTATAACTAAATTTAAAAGAAAGGACAAAATATAACTATTTTCTAAAACGCTCAATACAACATTAATTTTAAAAAAATATCTATCAGTGTTAACTACAATATTAGAAAAAAGAGCTCAAAATGATCAAAAATCTTTTTTTATTTAGAAAAAACAATTTTTATGAAATCTTTTGTGATGTGATGTTTTGAGAATGCAAAAAAATCTTCATTCCTGGACTTATCGTATATTTTTATTTTACTAAAATTTTATATAAACAAGTATCTAATTATATTTGAGAAAATATTAATTTTTTATAGATTGCAAATAAAGATATTTCAAAAAAAATTATAATATTTGTAAATCATTGAAAACAAAAGAAATAAAGAGTATAATTTCCTGTTAAAAAATAAATTGATCTTAGAAATTGCAAATTTAAAACAAGAAATCTGAGGTCTTCGACCTTAATGAAATCTATTAAAAGAAAAATCGGATAAATTAATTACAATCAATGTAAATCAAGATATTAAAAATTATGATTGGCCAAAAGAATAATTCAGAAACAAGCATAAAAAATGAATTTTTATTGTTCAAATGATATTTGATGATTTTGGAACAAATGAAAAGCATGAAAGCTCAAAAGGAATTATATATATATATATAAAAACACTATTTTTTTTTAGAAAACATGCAATTAAATGAAATAATATCATTCATAAAAATAAGTAAATGTTTTTATTTTATTTTGATTTTTACATATATAAATATATCAAATCGAAAAAAAAAATTTTTTTAATGATAAAATCATTTTTTTATTCATATGAAATTATAAGGATTTAAAAGTCAAATATTCTTATTCTCTCCTGATTTATTTTAAAAAAAAGTTTATTTTTGAAAATTTTTATATTCTATAGTTTATTGTTTTTTTTGTGAAAGTTTGCTTCAAATTATTAATATTTGTTTATCTTTAAAATCTATCTGTAAAAATTTAATTAAATTTTATATATATATTATATGTTTTATATTATTTATAATATGATAATATTAAATTTGATTTGTCCAGGAATTAGAGTTTCCGTACCTCTGTATCAATTTCATATATAAAAATTATTCAAATTATTTTTTTTTTTTTTTTTCAATGTACTTGTTACAAAAAAAATTGAATATATTTCGAAATTCAATGCTCCAAATTTTAATTCACTATATCTTAATAAATAGTGAATAAAATATGAAAATTACATCTAAAAATCTTTTTATATTACATTTTATATGTACATTATTTTAAAAATAATCATTTTTTCCTCAATTTTTGAAGGAAATACCACTTATTAAATTAAATGGAAAGCTCAGGTATTTGCAATTTCGTCAATCTAGAATCTGAAGAGAAAGCATCCGTAATTGGTCTCGATTTTTTTGATGAAAAAAAAAAATGGAAAGTGGAAAAGAATGAAAATATTCAAATATCTGATGCAAATGCACGTAAACGATGTCCTTTTTCCAAAGAAGAAGATGAACTTTTACTGAGTTTGGTCCAATATTATGGCCTTCAAAGTAAAAATGTGTGGAATGTTATAGCAGGTCAAATGAAAAACAGAATTGTTCGACAATGTCGTGAAAGATATCAATATTTCTTAACAAACGATGTTAAAAAAGGTATAAAATGGTCAAAAGAAGAATATAATTAATTAATTTCAAAATATCAGATATTTGGCACACATTGGAAAAGATATGAACCATTCTTTGATGGAAGAACTTCGTACAATATAAAGAACAGATTCAAATCATTAACATCTCCAAAAAAGATTTTTAAAAATATCCCAAATATTCCAAAAATAAATCATATATTTTCAACATTGAACAAGAAGCAAAATGTTTCTCAGATTCCAAAAACAAGTAAACCAAAGTCTTTTTTGAAAATTGATTCAATGGTTTCTTTTTCAACTGAAAAAAATGATGACAATTATTTGTTTTTCATTGATAATAATGAAAATGACTTTACCATAATTGATGAACTTGATCAAAATGAAATATTTAATAACTTATATTTTTAAAATATTTTTAAATATAATAACGAAAACAGAAGATGTTTAATCTTTTATTTATATAAAAGCATTGAAATTCATATGATACTCTTTTATATTTTAAATTGTTGAGAAATATAATAATTTTGTGCCATTTTTGTTTCTTTTAAAAGTATCGTTATATTTGTAATGAGCATTCAATTATGTGGAGAATAATTGGAGAAAATTATATTTTATCATATTTTTTTAAAAAAATAAGATCAGAATGAAAATAATTTGATTATTCAGTTTATATTTTAGGAATATGTATATTATGATAAAATCAAAATTGTTGATTAAAGTTAGTTGAAAAACTGGTCGACATCATGAAAAACTAGTCGACATCATCGAACTTTTTGTGTAGTTTTTTAGAAAATTTTGTTTATCTCCTCAGAAATCGCTAAAAACTGGTCTACATTCAATTATTCACAATTTTTATTATCTCCTCACTTTTTCAGAAAATTGAAAATTTGTTAAAAAAATTTTTTTATTTTATTTTAGAGTGCGATCAGAGTACAACAACATAATTCCTTCAAGAAGAATGTTTCCCTGATATGAATTATCATTCCGTTTCATAATTATGGATATATATCCTAATGCATATACAGAAATTATTCATTTTACGAAAAAGATAATGCATTATTTCGAAAAATCATCATATATAATTAATACAAATCTCGAAAATATCAAGAATATCATTGAATACAATCGTTTTAAAAATGAAAATGAGTTATATAATCGTTCAAGATCAATATATTTAAATAGAGTTAGAAATGGGTTTTGTGCCAATTCATATGGTAATAACTAAAATTGATTACTGGAATTAGTGAAAATATTGGTTTTAGTTATAGAAATTAAATATTTTTCTTTTATTATTAAGGATAATGATGT